ATAGGGGTACATGGTCCCAAATAAGGGGCATTTAGGGTCTAATAGAGGGTAGATGGAGGGTCTAGGTCTCTTCAAGAACGAATTACACAACGAGTTGGCGATCAGAGTGCCGGAACAAAACTCCAAGTGGATATGGGAGAACTGGGCATGCCGTTGCCGCTTCGGCTTGCCCACCATGGGAAATGCTGTGGCGTACTTGTGTACCGATGTACAGACTGGGATACCTGCAATATAATTAGCAGTGTACGGATATGTATATAATGGGATACCGTTAAATTGAAGTACTCAACAGCTATTTAGAATCCAGAACTTCACCCAAGCCCCAAGTCTGCGCGCTCAGATCCGGGCACAGAAGGTGGGAGCGTGGCCTCAGAACGGAGTTGAAGCACTTCCGGGCAACGTCTCAGCTGTCTACCCATGAGCTAATCACTCGGGAAGTTTACGGTGGGTTCAATGACCAATGACTCAACGGTTCGATACCCATAGGCTCCATAGTAGTTCCTTTTGGGGGTTCATATTTAGAATTCCATAAGGTAATCCCAAAAAGGAACGACTATGGAGCCTATGGGTAGCAACAAGTCAGCAAGGATCAGCTGGCGACTGCGGGTCTTGCCTTGCCGCGAAAACGACGCTGGGATTCAGCACAACACGCTGGACACCTCTTGTTCCTCACAAGTTCCCCTGACGAGGAGGCGAGAAGCAGAGTCATCGACATCTGCTCCCGAGAATAGCTATGATGAAACTTGGACTTCGGTGGCATGAACCCACCGCGTAACAGTCTCGTGCTCGTGGTTACCGAAAGCTAACCCTGACGGCTGTGCCGTCTGTCTTGCCTTGTATATGAATTTCGAACCCACGGAAAACACACCTGCGCTCCGGACTCAACGCTTACAGGACTAGACGGATCATGTATTCTCTAAGCTTGATGCTTTCGCACAGAGTGTGTGCATTCTGTCTTGCACGAGCTGCAGGCGCGGGTATATGCACCAGAAGCAAAAGCCAGAGTCCTTGTCGGAACTCAGCACGCTGTTCGAAGCTAACACGTGTAGAGAGCCATGCAAAAGGCCTCAAAGACAAAGATGCTGTTTGGAACCTGGAGCACAGGGCCCTCCTCCCAGACACAAACATCTGGGGATGCTTAATCTTCAGCTCACCAAAGACATCCAAGACGGTGTCTCAGAGGAAACAAAATTGACGGCGGGCACAGCCTACAATCGCCAGCCCCCTGCCGGTAGTACCTCACCTCGCTATCCTGACGCTGCTTCCGCGCTCAAACTGAAGTGCTGGCATGGCAAAATCTCCTAGCTGAACTGCAAAGCAGTTGCATCCACGAACGGGAACCCAGAGCCCGATGCCACTGCGATTTACTGTCAGACCCATCCTCGCAATGGAGGAAGGCTTGGCTATCCCTGGGCACCCTCAGAACCAACAATAGAAGCAATGGCTTCAGGAATTTAAGAATCTTCTGGAATTTGCTTTGTAAAACCTCTGAACCCGCGCCGTCGCTAGCCTGCAACACACCCTAAACCCTACAACCTTAACCCTGAACATGCTTGTGAGGGGCGCTAGACTCACTTGACTACACCACCTTTTACTCCACCAAGCCCTACTCTACCTGTCAGCTTATAATTTGGCTTCAGTGACGCAGGCAGCGTTCCTGTACACTCCTACCTGCCAAATGTCGAGTCTGCATGCAAGGGTGCGATCGAATTCTCTCCGTGTCACAGAGCCCGACTCCATGATCCTAAACCATGATGCCGTTTGACCATCCGCCTTCAACGATGTAGTCGTGCCAGACCGGCTTCTTCTCTAATGATATTCCTTCCGGATACATGCACCACTCTAAACTCCGAAACTCGAACAAACCCCTAAACCCTAAACCCTACAGTAGGAACCTGGATTAAAAGTGCGATTTCGTCTTCCTTGTGAAGACCTCAGAGTGCCTTCTTCGTGAGGACCAGCTCCGAGATAAGACTTTTGCAGGCAGGTGCAACACATGTTCCCGACGGTTTCCTGCCTTAGTTATCGGTCCTTGTTGTCACAATCGACGTGACTATGTGCGTGCTATCACCCTAGTATCAATGATTATGGGGCATAGGGCTTGCGGGTTTAGAGCCTTAGACGAGTTTGAGGTTCTGGCAATATCCTAGGCTGGTGTCGAGGCGCCAAATACAGCAAGCATAATTAGGCTCATTATCCACAAGGTCATAAAGGGTATTAAGTCACATAACGAATTCATCCCATACTCCTTTTCTGCATTGCTTGTCCACTGGCGCTGGTGTTTAACTGGGGCATTACCAAGGCTCAACGTCGGACAGAACCCTTATCCCCAGACACACTTTTAGCCATGTACTGCTGCCTTCCACAGGTCGTTACTGAACGACAACTCTTTGCTATCTGGCGCCCCACATGCTAAGTTCCGAGATTCTGAAACCTGAAAGGCCCTAATCCCTAAGCCCTGAACCCAAAGTAGTTGTAGTTGCACCTGAGGTGCACCATCAGCGTAGGCATGGGCTGCAGGGGGGGTCAGGAACTGGCTGTGTACTACAGCAGATGCGACCACCTAGTCTGCCAACAAGAACTGTATATGCATCGTCTGCCATACATATGCCATGCGATGAGGTGCCATGCCATGCCATTCGCGTTCCATGCCCCGTGCCATGCCATGCGCCGTGCGCCATACCCCATGCCCCGTTGTATGTAATGTGTGTGTGTGAACATGTGTACGTATGTGTGTATGTGTCTGGAGGTGTACACACATGCTTGTGTGTAAGCATATTTGTGTATTTATATGTATGTTAGTACGTACGCTTGCATCTTTGTTTGTTTGCTTGTTCGTTGGAGTGTTCGGATCCTATGTTTGCGAACAGTGTACTGAGGTCTTTGTCTAAGTGTTGCTGAACTGATCTCCCCCTGACTCTTCGTCCCAGCCTCTGCCACACACAGGGGGCCCAACAGCCTAGCACTCCCTCCACCGGCACAAATACTCAACGGTTGAAACCATGGGCTCCGAGCATGGGCCCTTAGCCTTGGGATCCCTATATACCTACTATACAGTAAACTCCATAAAGTTGGAAACCGAATTAAGGCCAAATAGTGCTGGGATTCCCTTTTCACTAACCTTAAGGATTGAGGCTATTGGGTTTCCAACTTTTGGGCTTCTACTATATACCCTATCTAGACTCTTAAGGGTCCCTAGCACCTCCTCACAAAGGCCTAAGGGTCCATATTTCAAACCTTGGAGATACGTCTGAGCCCGGGATCATGTACTATTTGCCCGAAGGCCGAATGAAACACGGTTTAAGGTTTGGTTTAGGGTTTAGGGTTTAGGGTTTAGGGTTTAGTGCGATGTATGGCCCGAATTGGAAGGACAAGCTGCAACCTCAACAGGGATTTGTCTTGCCTTTTATTCACCGACCGAGTGCCAGCTTCATGCGGCACGACTTTTAGACTCTTTGGGCTATGACAGATATCACCCATCCAGAGTTCTTGGCAACAACACTTCAAGACCACGTTGCAGCTTTTGCGAAAAAGAAACATTCGACGTATCTCCAAAACACGACCAGCCACCCTAAACCCGAACATTAAACCCTAAACCCTGTAAACTCTAGGCCAACAATCGCCACATGAAAATCCAGTTGCGTCTCGAAGGGAGAGCGGTGCCACCCGTGAGGGTTGGGCGGAAGGCCAAGGAAAGTTACCTCCTCGGCTCCTTTCCGACTGTTTCTGCGAGGCGGTTACAAGCGGCACAGATGGAAATTTTGGCAGGGTATGGTAAGTACGGCGCCGTTGGAGTTTAGTATAGTATACTATAGTAAAGTATATAGTTCGCATATAGTAGTATAGTATAGTATGGTATAAGATAGTAATGCAAAGTACAATATTGTTATGATATAGCATAGTACAGTACAGTATGATATAGATAGTGTAGTAGAGTATCGCATAGTAAAGCATAGTAAGACATAGCTGCGCACAGCATAATACAATATATATATATATATATATATATATATATATATATATATACAATAATACAGCATATTAATCAATATACCGTAGGGTACAGGGTACAGAATATATAGCAAGCTTATAGTTATAATAGGGAATGAAGAATGTAATGATTCGAGCTTCTACTCTGCAGTCGGAAGGACTGACCATCGCCCTACACTCGTTTCTGTATTCTCTGCGGAAGCCTGCAAGGGGGCATCATTACAGGAGCCTAAACCCTAAACCCCTAAACCCCAAACCCAGACCCTAAACCTCGAGCCCAAAACCCCACACAACCCCGAAACCCTAGTCCCAACACCCCACAACTGTAAAAAACAACCTAAACCCTATGAGCCACGGCGAAATTAGGTTAGCCTACAGCTTGCTCTCAGGTCTTTTTCATTTATAGCGTAGGGTGTCCTACAGTATGAGTAGTGCCGTACGAGATAGTTGTGGCTATTTGGGAGACGGTTTAAGGATATCTTTTCCGAGTCTAGAGTCTCAGAAGCCTGAAACCTTCTGGCCAGCATCCTGGCTTCGTGCCCCGACCCAGGCTTCCGCAAAGCTTCGCAACGCTGCGACTGTCGGCGGCTCGAATGTCACAGTCATCTCTTGTCCTAGAGCTACCTCCATAGCTGTGTTGGGGATTTCCTTATTGCCTTGTGTACGGCTCCTCTCAAACAAGTAACCTTGCACCCCATTCATTCCGAATCCAAACCCTAGGCCCTGAACCTCAGACCCTCCCCGCCATGGCAGCTTTGCTGCTCAGAAGCGACCCTGGAAGCAGGCTTCGGTTGCTTGAGTAATCCGGGCATGTGCCATACGAAGTAAAAGCCCCGAATAAAGCGCAAAGCACGCGAACAGCGGCAGATCGGAGACTTAGACTACTGTGAGCAGAGACAATATTAAAACCTTCAACTTTACGCTGAAGCCCCAAACCTCAAACACCTGAACCTAAGGCCGACTCTAGATTCGGAGAACGATATTTGCCTGTGTCACCCCGTCGTTCATGCTCAGAAGGTAGGATGTGTCGACAACTGGACCTCACTGCAAATCTTCGTTCTGAGGATTTGGAGAATGGGGACAGTTGACCTTTGCCTTGTGAAGCTTGGAAGAACATTTAAGCTCCATAAGAGTTGCCAAGAGTTACCATACGGCTTACGAGTAGGGCATCCGGCATTTGCATAATAAGAGATTGACATTGCGGGAAAACGAACCGTGGAAAGACCAAGCCGTGGACGGCACGTAAGTAGGCGTTATGCTTTGTGACATTATGAGACTTATGCGAGTTTGCGGTCCCTAAATGCACGTCACGCGGCAAAGTATCTCAGGAGACCGACAATGCCAATCACCACCAAGACGATCACAGCCAGGAGAAGCCAAAGGAGCCTCTCGTCGAGCTTAGCTTGAAGGTTCCCGAGACTCCAATATCCCTTAATTAAGGGATATTCCCTAAATTAGAGTAGGATCCCTAATATGATTTACGGAATATTCCTTAATTAAGGGATATTGGAGTCTCTGGGTTTGACAAGCTTGTACTGGCAACGTGATGCTGGCTTGAAATTGCCTGGCAGTTATACTCAAATATAATTACGCACTTGAGTTGACTGCGTCCTGGGAGCTGCTCAAACCAAACACAAGACCGCGAAACCAAAAAAAAACAAAACTGAAACCCCTCAATCCCAGGCCGTACTAAGCCCTAAGCCTCCAACACACTTCTAAATCCTATACCCAAACCTCTCAATCAGAAGCCCTAAACCCCAAACCCTAAAACCCTTCAATCCTTAACCTAAACCCCTCAAACCTAGGCCCTAAACCCCAAAACACTTCAATCCTAAATCCTAAACCCAACACCCCTCAATCCCAAGCCCAAAATCCCAAAACTCTAACCCTTAGAACCCTAAAAACACCAGAACCCTGAACCCTAAAACCCTGAAACCCTAACACCCTAAACCCCGCAAACCCTGAACCAGAAACCCTTTCAAACCTTCCCCGAGACAGACCTACTTGGAAGGGCAGGGGACTTAGTAAGTAGGTTATAAGTAGGGTTATAATTGGGGTAACTCCATTTAGGGTACTTATAACTCTACTTATATCCTACTTACTAAGTCCCCTGCCCTTCCAAGTATGTAGACAGACCTAGCCTCTCCGAGGGGTCTGACCTTCGATCGGGGGTCCGGTGCTTCGCCCGCTCCTTGGCGCCCAAAACCCAAAGGGTCCAAAGTACCTATATAGTAGAATGTAGGGTTTCTATATTAGGAATTACTATTATGATTTGGGGAGTGTTCCCCATAACAATACCTAGGACCCTTTGGGAAAATGGCCGAACGGATCCGGGTGTATGGTTCACGCTTTAGGGTTCAAGGTTTAGGGTCTTTAGGGGTTTAGGGTTTAAGGTGCATGGAGGTATGTAGGGGAAGTAAGACGGTCATCAGCAGTAGTCTATCTTCGAATCAAAGTGCAAGGAATGGTTAGATGCATTTGATATTATGTTGCAATTGTTGAAACCTGCGTCTATGCATTCGGGGTGCCAGCTTTGTGGTCAAGTATTTACGCCTTAGGTTCCAGAGAATGTTGCCAATGTCTTCGATGCAATGCAGAAAGGGGGGAAACTTCGTCTTCTTATCTTTGTACCTGATGCAAAGAAGATGGTTAACCGTAACTACAGCTGTTGAAAGTCTGGTTGTAGCAAATCGACCTTGCGGCAAAATGGTGCTGAAGGGAGCAGTGTGGAAGTTTTCTGCAAGTGGGCCGATACCTGAAACAGATCAAACGCTGACGAAGCCACCGTGACGAGGTTGCCTGCTAGGACTTGAACCACCACCTGAGAGCAAGGTCTCGGTTCGTCTATTCGGGACGCGTGTCGAACCGAGGATTCAGGGCCTCGGAAATCCGTTGTAGTGATGCTTATGATAACAAACACGAAAACCTATGAACACCTCTTCCTCTTGCAGTAATTATAAGGAGAAAGAGCATTTGGTTCGCGGAGAGCGTTCATGGGCGCGAGAAGAAGGGACAGAGAGAGAGAGAGATCCGAGTCATAATCTTTCTTGGTAGTTGCACTGACCTAAACCCATACACCCTAAATCCTAAACACTAGACCCTAAACCCTAGACCCTAAACCCTAAGCCCTAGATCCTAAACCCTAAACCCTATGCACGGATACAGTTCCGGCTCTGAATCTCCAACTCTGCAACATCGGAGACCCGATGTGCCTAAGGCCTCCCATCAGGCACGTCTCCCGAACTGTTGGCTCATGACCATACCTCTTTCCTAGTTCATTGTTGGGATAGGATTATACATGTACATTTTTATTCCCTATTGGGTTTAAGTACCCATAAAAATGTAAAATGTTACCCAACAGTGACAAAGTTTCGTTGACACTACGTGAGGAGCTGCGCTCCCGCCAACAAGTGTCGCATTTTGCTGGGGTCGATTGTGGATTAAGCCCCCAAAGCGAGTGGAAACTGAATTCCCTGCTGTGGTTTGTTGCAGGTCATGACGACAGTGAGCTTTCAACTTCACGGCACCCCTGCCACAGCTGGCAAGCCCTTTGCAACCCAAGGCCAAGAATGTTCAAAACACGGAGTCCTACACCCTGAGACTTAAACCTGTCAGTCGCTAAGTCCGTGAAGCCATCGAACTAGAAAAAAACCCTAAACCCTAAACCGCGAAGCCCAAAAGCTCGCAACAGAAAACTCATAACAACCACGAAGAACCTTATTCAAACAGAACTGGGCCCAAGATTTACTTGAACACATTTCCTCATAAGTCCTTAAACAGGTAGTATATTTGTTGTGGGCCAGAGGGACAGCGAAAGGCGTCCTCCCTGCCCTCCAACTTATAGGAGCCTTTTCAATTAGACTGGGGTCGGGGATATCTTATCGTATCCCAAGGAATAGGTAACTAACGAGGTAGGTACAGTCCGGTTTGCAAAGTCCTACATACGGAAACCTAAAGCCCACAAACTTAACGATAGCAAACCCTTCATCCAAGACCCTAAACCTCAACCGTAGACACCAAACCCGACCAGAAAAAACCCGAAACCAGGCTGAATCTGAACTCAGCCCTCTAACCCTAAACACCAAAAGCCGACAAGCCCAAAACCCCCAAACCCGTAAACCTAAACGCCAAATGCAAATTAAACCGTCAAAACTTAAACGGTTAGATCACCCTTGTCGAAACACCTGTAAAACCTGTAAAACACTCTTGGACAACGAGGGAAAGCCGTGGTTCATGTATAGCTCGGAGTACCAGCTGTAATGACATCCCCCTATAATCGCGAAAATGTCCAAAACTACTCTGCACCTCCCCGAAGGCCTATTCTAAGTTCAAGGGCAGTTTTGTAAGCCCCAGCCCTAAACCTACCCTATGCACCCTGAGCCGCCCCAGGGCACCCAGAGCCGGCCTGGGCAATGTCGCGCTGCAACGTTCCCAGCGACGGCGCGAGGCTGGCGCAAAGGCGGCGTTGGGCGAGCAGAGGCATCGCCAGCAACCTGGCGGGTGTAGCTATAAGGGTTCCAACAAGGGCCTATCAAAGGGGAGTCTATCTATCCATCTACCCATCCATGCATATATATATATATATACATACATACACACATGTATGTATGTATGTATGTATGTAGGTATGTATGTAGTGTGCACAGTATGTATATATGCATGTGTGTGTATGTACTTCTATTATATTCATACACAAGGGTTTAAGTCAGTAGAAGGTTACTCTACGACATTATGCGGGCTTAGAGGTTGTGTATACGTGTTGGGGGCTTCGGCTGCAAGGGTGAAGGGCTTCGGGTTTGAGGCTTGTCGTTCGGGGCTTGGGGTTTCGCAGATACCAGGAGCCCCCCAAGGTATCCTTAAGAAGAGTCGTAGACTGTACGATAACCGGCGAGCATCATGCACGACTGTTACGTGTGATGGTACCCACATGAATACAAATACAAATTTCATTTGCTTAAGGATCAAAATAAATACTGTGAGCTGCCGAAGCTACCATCACACGCAATGATTGTTTCCCACCATGGACATCACACACAGTCTTCAGCACCACCCCCAAAATCAAAGACTCTCAGGCTTCATAAACCCTAAAGGCATAACTAATGTAGCGGCCTTAATAATTAGAATCGGGTTTTGGAACCCAATATACTATATTTATAATAAGGAACTCCCTAAAATAGTATAGGCAATTATCAAGGCCCCTATAGTAACTGCACAAATCCAAAATGGCCTGTTGCGGGTGGCCCAGGAGGCGAGGACAGCCGGCTCCTTCGCGAAGTTTCGGGTCGGTAGAAACTCAGGCGCGGGCCTCTGATCCAAATATTTCCTAGGGGGCTTAGGTTTTGATTTTAATCATATATATATATATATGTATATGTATAGACTGTATAGATACAGATATGTTGCTTTTTTTGGTGGGGGGGGGGCTCCTTTTTCAGACTGCCGAAAGCATTAAAAGTCAATAGGAGCAGGCCTAGTTAGTGTATTGTAATTATTCACACGACTACCAAGGATGGCGCTTATGTGTTAAGTTGAGATAAGGTCATACGGCCAAAAAGCTTAAAGTTGTCCAATTGGTTGCCAAACTTATCCTGCGACGGCTTCAAGTTGGCGTGCGCAGTCTGAGAGCCATGGCTACGCAGCAGCCGGATGTAGCGATGCACACGCTGACTGAGACTTCACGGTCACGTGGTTGCAATGCAACGCAAAAGAATGGGCTTGGAGTTTGGGCTTAGCGCGTGGCTCAATGCCAGCACACCACCACGGCCACATGCAGAAATGGTTCGATAAATCGGAACAGTGCGTTAAAGTCCTACGAACCTCAAAGAACAGCAACAACTGTCCGGAATCAATCCCAAAATCTTAAGCCCTAGATCCAGAACCCTAAACCAAAGCTACCTCAAAGCGCCCACAAGCCCCAAGCAACCCCAACCCCTAAACCCCAAATCCGAAACCCTGAACCCCTACCTGAAGGTCCCAGTCCTTGGCCAGGGTACTGCAAACATCGGCAGCATCAGGTCCAAGTGCCTGCAAAGGCTGTGGAAGCTTTCATAGGCTTAAAGTATAGGTTGAAGCCAAATCTCATTATGAGCAGTATCCTGATTCTCAATTCTATTCTTACCATCATGCATTACTAGTAGCAACAACGTTTGGAGGGCATCAGGGCTTCTTCCGTCAAGGTTGGATTTGGGGCTTGTCTCTGCAGCAGAAGCCCGGTCCCGGGGAACGTTTTAGTTTTCCGCGGCACGCCGAACCAAACGAATTCATTCTCCGATCTTCTACCGTTAGAAACCTACAGCGTGTACCACACTGTTCCGGGTAATATAGGGGCCTGAACCAGGGCCACCCACAGAACGCTCCAAACCTAAACCCAAAACCCAAACCCCTTATAATCAACTCTAAAGCTCTGGTATAATACACCCCACAACCCTATTCTAAACATTAAGGCCCCTATATTATAGAGCCCTTTCCCATATAAGCCCGAAACCTTGAGACCCCAAGGCCCAAAAGTTGTCGACCTCTACGACAGATCCTCAAGACCTACTGCCTCCCGGCTTGCGCCACATGGGAAGTTCTGCTGGTTTTGCACCGGGGGATAGTATGACGGCCTTCATGATGTTGATAGGGTATCGGGCTACATTCTAGTACGTATGACTGCAAAAAGGAGCCAGAAGGAATAGTAATTGTAAGTGCTCAGGCTCCTACATGACCTTATTCAGTTCTCCTGAAAACATGTCCCACTATTTGTGGTCAGTGTTGGGGAAGTGGCCCCAAACCCAGAGAGCCTGGTCCTGACTGCCAAATCCTACACGTCCTAAGCCGCGAACCAAAGTTCCTGAAGCCTCCAGTGATAAGCGTGAACTTCGATTTCTCAGCCCTGTTACGCCCTTACCTTAAATCCTTAGCCCCGTAAAGTCCTATGAAATCCTGTAGAATCCTTCCTGGAATCCAAAACCCCGCCTAGACACCTGTATCAAACAAAGCACCAGAAAACCACTATAATTGAAGCTTTTTCTGTCTCTCTGCACTGCCCCCAATACAGTTAGAGTCTATAATAGGGCTATTATTGTAAGTTCCGTTTTAGGGTTTAGGGTTGCACCTCAAGGAGACGATCCGTGACCAACTCGGCCAGGGCTTCGCAAGGTAGCTCCAAAAGCCCCGCCAGCACCACGGCCTTGGGGTTTAGGGCTTAATAGGTTTTAGGGGTTTTAGTGCTGATGACTCCTGTTTTGGGTTGTGAGGGGAAGGGGGGTAAACCCCAAAGCCTCAAACCCAACAGACCCTCAAACCCCAAACCGTACACAACACCCTAAACCCTAAAACCCAAAAACCTCGCAAGCGCTAAAAGCAATACCCTGTGACACTCGAGCTCCGGACCCTTGCAGCAGGAGCCGTCTGCAGCAGGCGTGGCCTAAGTCACAGCTGCCTTCATGTTTCAAAGCTTCGTGCCATCTAAATGAAGGATTCTTGAGACTTCGGGTCTAAACCCTAAACCCTAAACCGTGCTGTTTGGACTTCAGGCCCTTGCTCAATCCTACTCTGGGGGCAGCAGGCCCTTCCTCCCCGTCTGTTATTGTGTTCCTGCTATTGCTCTCGCATCTCGAACAAGACACACCCATTACCCATTCTTCGCAGCCTTGTCTGCTTGAATCTGCTACTTGTAAAAGCCCGAAACCATCATTCGCTGAGCCCTTGACGCCACCAAAAAACTGAAACCCAAAGCCGAATTATCCCAAAGCCATGCAATCCAAAATCCGAAGAGCTTCGAACGCAGAACCCCCAGGCACTGGAGCTGATAAAGCCCTAAACCCGACACTCCAGTCCCCAAGCTTTACCTAAATCCTACAGACAGTCTGAACCTCAAGCCATGAAGCCCCAAAGCTTGAAAACTGCTCCCTCCAAGCTGCAACAGCTTTTGCGACGCTGGCCACAGTCCAAAGTGAAGCCTGGGATTAGAACAAGGCCCCACGACCTTTAGGGTTTAGGGTTCAGGGTTGTTTTGGTATCAAAAATGCGGGGTTGGTCAGTTTCCGGCTGAAAGGCATGGCGTTGTGGGCTTTAGGGGCTGTTAGGAGATCGAAGATCTTCTCGGGATTGAGAGCTTGTTCGTTAAGGGCTGGGTTAAACGCACTCAGGATAATTGCGGGCTTAAGCTTCAGACTTTGAGTAAGTCTTGTGAAACTGCCAAACAGAAGTGATCCTGCTAACAATCCTTACTAACTATCAGTAAGAAGGAGAACCACGAGGAACAGCTACTGACAACGAGGCGGGCCTCGTTGGGTCTGCTCCACACTCGAGGTCAAAACTGAACCAAATAAGTCGGGCTTGAATATTAAGTACGTCGCTTGCGCCTGCGGTAGGGGTTCTCGCCTTCAAGGAGTCAAGACCAATGGTCACCGAGAGCTACACGACGACCACCGAAGTCGAAAGGAGCTCTGCAGCAAGCCCGGAGGATGCTCTGAACCCCTCAAGGTCTGACAGTTCATTATCATTACAGCCCTCGTCCTTCGTTTAAACTGCTGCTGCAGATTTTCAAGAAGTTGGTAAGGTTTCAACCTGAAGGGCCCGTCTGTGGGGAGAGACGGAACTCTTACGTTTCGGGGAGCCACTTGGGCTCAACATCGATGGGATCAGTTCGTTTAGTGCGCTTACGGCTGAGAGTCTACTTCAAGCCCTGAGCCTGAGCCTTGTACCGGCTTTCGGCTATCTGTCAAGTGTGCCTCAAGGCTACATCATTAATATGGACCCTGAAGCCTGGAGAGTCCAAGTTTCAAGATGCACCCTACTACATCAAGCCATCAAGGGCTTGTTAAGCTCTTCCACATTTGCAAACCCTAAACCCTAAACCCCTAAACCCCTAAACCCTAAACCCTAAACCCGAGCAAGATGCATGTTGGGGTAGTGAATCGTGCAAGTCTGTGATCGATGAGCCGCAGGGGACTTGACCTTTGAAGCTCCGTTTACAGCAATGCCTACTTCTCCAGCAACCAGGGGCTTTGGGGGTTTCGGAGTTTGGGTTTTGGGGCCTAAGAGGTCGGATTTTGAAGATCTAAGGTAAAAGCCAGAAAGTTGGAATATCATTATCCTAACCTTTCTATGGTAAATTATAAGGTATCCTACCCTGAAACCATATTCCAACTTTCTGGAGTTCCCTTTATACGGGAACCGACGGGTAGCCTTTGAGATCCTACCGGGATTATAGCACCACAGAAAACTTAAAGCACATCGGGTCATGAGAGCGGTCCCAGCGAAAGGCGTACGCCTGCCTTTTCGAATTAAGAGCTCAAAAGTCTGGTGGCAAACAATTTGGAAGTGTTCGGGGAGGAAAGTGAGAGACGGAATACGAAATGTTAAGGACTCTGATGATCTTGGCTAACTGCCACATAATAAACATCATGCTGTCCTTCATCCGGGTCGGGCTGGAAAATACTCATGTTGCTATTGGCCATTCAATAGTATTTCGAAGTATGCTAGGTTCGGTGCTTCTGATTGTTGCAGTGGCTCCTGTTCTCGTTCTTACTTTCCACGAACCCAAGATCTGTATAGTTTGTAGAAGTCAGACTGGCAGCCTAGCAGTGGAATGAGAAGGCAGATTGAACATCCGAGCAGCCAACTAAAACGAGTTCGCGCGCTACGGGGTTTTGGTGGCTTGGTTGCGGTGGCGCTCGCCTCGAACCAAGTCCTGGTGACTATAGTGCTTGGAGTGAACACCTCAAGCTCGTTCTTCGAAGCGGAAGACAGCAAGACCGACAATAGTGTAGGGTCTTCATTGCTAGAATAGGGTTTGGGAGTCAAAACAGTCTTATGCCCCTATAGCCTATAGCAGTCTTGAAGGCCAAAGCACCGCCTTCGCAGCGCCCAGGCGAAAGGCCTTCGGGCTTCGGGCTTGAGGGCCGTACTGACAGAACAGGCTTAGAGCTGAGTGTACAGTGTGTATAGTATAACTAGTAAAGTGTATCATCTAAGGCTTCCTCAGGGGTCTCTCTCTCTCTCTCTCTCTCTCTCTCTCTCTGGGTTTCACCCTTGGAACTCCTAGCTGGCAATTCCCAACACACCGGGAACCCTCCAAAAGCAGAGCTTGTAGCATGGGACTTTGCATACATCCTAAACTGCATGCCACGACTATGGAATTCCGGAGACACTGAGAACAACATGCAGCACAACAAAGACATCCAGACCGGAATGCAACATGGTTCAGTCATCCCTGTCCTCATGTGCGGATCACTTGCACTTCACACGACACCCATGGACCCGTAACGCAACTCCCAAGCCCAAACTCCGCCGCCTTAACTCAAGCACTTGACATGGAAATGAAATCTAAAGCCCCCAAAAGTCGCTCTCCCTCCCACATTCGTCAAAGAAAGAGGCCTGGCTAAGTTCATCACAGTGCTGCATTATCGCCAGGTGCTGCAGGTAGGCTCCAAAAGCCAACCTTACGGATGTGTTTAGGGAAGTAAGGTGTCAGAGTCCAAGGCTGTGCTGCTTTAGGTCTGCTAAGGTACCGGACCCATCGCCATACGGAAGGATTCATTACTGCAAAAGCCCGCCGACATTCAGAGCAAACATGCCAAAGCATGAAAATCCTGAAATCCACAGCAAGACCAATCACCGTCACAGAGCCTTTAACAATGGGTGGTCACAATGTTCTCTTACACCTGAGACCTTTCTCTGCTGAGGCTGCTCAAGTGAAACATGCCCTGTGCATGCCTAACAGGTGTGCATGGCACATGATACCTTTCACCCTCACAGTCCCTTTCTTCCAGAGCCCACGACATCTCCCCCACATTTGCAAATGATCCTTAAACGTCTTCAACAAAGAACCCTAAACTTTAAACATACCCTCTGAAGAGCAGGTAAGAAGCCGAACCGGCTCGCAGGTTTCATCAAAAACTTCGTTGAAGCAGCGTGAGCTGCTGTGCAACTCCTCGCCAGTGGCCAGATGCTCTAAGGAAGCGTTGCAAACGCACCGACAGACGCAGACAGACACATGGACGGACCGACCGACGACGGACGGACAAACAGACAGAAAAACAGACAGACAGACAGACAGATGGACGTACGGACCGACCAGCCGACGACGGACGGACGGACAGACAGAAAACAGACAGACAGACAATAGAGTCGCCGTCGTCTCCTTCGCCATTGCCATTGCGGTGGTCATACTCGTGGACAGCAGGAGGCACATGCTGCCGACACAAACACCACACAACAATACTGCCGAAGAGCACGGTGGAGGAGACGACAGAGTCCAGAGCCGACAAAGGCAGGGCAATTAGAAGGTCTTGTACATCCTGGACATTTGAGCTGTTGAGAGTTTTTAAGACATGCACACGCACGCACACACACACACACACACAACCAAATGCACAGAGAGTCTCTCTCTCTCTCTCTCTCTCTCTCTCTCTCTCTCTCTAATCCTAACCTGCGGGTTGCAGTCCTGGGCTCGCGCTAGCCCAGTGAAAAACGACAGCAGAGAGCGGCCAGCTGAAGTGGCAGAAGTCCTTCGCAGGATCCGGGAGGCAAGCAAACAGGGACATCAATCATCAATCAGTCGATTACTTGGAAGGGCAGGGGACTTAGTAAGTAGGTTATAAGTAGAGTTATAAGTACCCTAAATGGAGTTACCCCAATTATAACCCTACTTATAACCTACTTACTAAGTCCCCTGCCCTTCCAAGTAGGGTTTAGGGTTTAGGGACATCAGTCAGTCGATTCTAAATATGGCTGTTGTGCTTCCAAGTTTATCGCCATTCCTAGGATTTGGGAACACTACTTCGACGGGAGATAAGAATCTGGGAGCTTGCCTTTGCAAACCCAAGTTTCATAAGATGCGCATGTTGACAAAGCCCTGCAGACGGGACTCGTAAGTCTGAAAACCCGGAACTGCATATGAAAGTCATACGATACCATATTGGATAGTTCTCTAGATCAGGGTCCCTTTAAGGGTGCTTGCCGTGGTATCTCGGGGGACCCCAAAAGGGATCCTAATTTGGAGAGCTACCCTTTTGAACTGATCCTTAGAATAGGGTTGTGGGGTATACTGCTGCTAGTTGTCCCCACAATAACCAGCGCCATTATGCTGAGACAATTCATGTTTAACTCATGTTGCTCGACAGAGGAACTCTGGTGGGGCCCCATACACATAATCAAACAAAGCCGCATGTGCCAACATAGGGGCCTTAAACAACCATAACAAGATGTTGAGCGCCTTCGTAGTATAGCTGTCATGAAGAACTCTCAAGGAACATCATTAGCATTTTCTTAAGCTCCTGTAACCCGTGTCAGGTCGACAAGAGCCGTCCACTTCAGGGGAATCCTTGTGGTCCCGCTATTTAGCGTCGCTTCTTCCACGGCTCCCCAGTAGCTCCAGTAAGCTAGGAATAAGAAGGGCCTCCATTTGGGAGTTTCCGCAAATAGGGGTATCAAATTTGGGAGCCCTTTCAATATAAGGATCCTCCTATTGTGGTACTGGGTAATTTTATCAGGAACCTCCACAAGGATACCGATTTACTGACACTGGCGAAAAAGCAAAGCGAGCCGCGTCATCAAAGACTACAAAATCAGAATGCGAAGCCCGAAATCCTAGAGCCCCTACCATAAACCCCTAGAGCCCCTACCATAAACTGCCCTAAACCCGAACAACGGACTGAGCTATGAGCAAAGGGAGCAGCTGAGCACGGGACGTCTGCCCACTTTCCGTTCTCTCGGAATACGGCTCTGAGACTAAAACCTGAGAGCGTGGAAAGCTAGTATAGGGGCCTTAGCAATTAGAAAAGGGTTTTTGGGGGTATATTATACCAGAATCATAACAAGGAGCCCCCCAACAATAGTCTAGGTAATCATAAAGGCCCCTATAGTAAAGCCTGAACCTCTGTCTCTCAAAGCCCTGACCGTGAAACCCAAAACAGATGCAGAATAAAAGCATGAATAGGGGCAGCAGGACCTGCGGCACAGCCGTAGCATGAACATATCTGGTCAAAAGCCGCTCATCAGAGGATACCGGCTCTAGCTACGGTTGATGATCTAAATCCTGCATTACCCATAACAAAAAATATACCACAATTCCCACAGTTTCGGGGGGTCCTTAAGGTAATTAATGCAAGATTTATATCATCAACCGTAGTTTAGGGTTTAGGGTTTAGGGCTCACAAATCACACAGGCTGAGCGTTGAGGGCCAAATCCTCAGATTTAAAAGCTTTGGAGGCATTTCGCGGCAAGGCTACCTTGGCTTAAAGTCTTACGGTTTAAGGCAAAATGGCTTTGATTAACGGATGTGTAAGACAATGAACCCCAAGCGATAATGGCGAATTAACAGGTTGCTTGCCAGCTGGTCAGCCCGATGTTGGCTGACTGCGCACGCACACTTCTAAAACCTAACATGCTGATGCCGCGTAGGCTAAGCCCTAAATGCTGAACCGTAAAACCCTACCTACTTGTGTGATGGCCAGAATTTGGACTTCTTGTGAGAAGATCGGGTGCATGACGAGGGCCTTCCGGTTGATTCGGATGCGCGGGTTGAGGCTCTGATCGTAGGCTTTGTGTTTGGGGGGTTCCTCATGAAAAGTAGCTCTGGCTCTCATAGGTTACGAGTAAGCATATATGATGGCTTGTCTGGTTTGTACTACGAGCAGTATAGTCTAGTATAGCCTTCTTTTCAGCTTTACCGTTGTCGTCGTAAGACCTTCCTATCATAATCATGCTCAGCGTTCTGGGCTTAGGGTTCTGAGTACAGGGCTACTCTCACAGCTTCAGGCCGAAGGGCATAATCTTCGGTCAAGTCCCACAGCCATTCAAAAGCTCCGCGGTTGATGCGGACTTTGTCTACACCTGGAGGTTGTTCTGTCTGAGGGCTTACGCTTCAGGTTTTGGTGTAACAACCGTCGACGTGTCGTCTGTTATACCGGGCTGACCACCACAACACTTGGATGTATCCCTAAACCCCTAAACACTGAACCGTACGAGAAGCAGCTGCAGTTAAAGACAGCTGTTGCCTCAGGCTCATCTTACCGTTGGTTAGTAGGGAATGGAAGAATGGTAGCGATATTAGTTATAATTGTACCCCATTCCTGCATTCCCTACTAACCAAAGGTAAGCCATGAGGAGGACTACGGCAGGGAGGACAGCACAGGCAGTAACGATGTTCGCCGACCGACGATGTCAGTGACTACGATGACCCATCATGTCGTCCTCCCAAGGAGCTCCACGAATTTAACAATTACAGTGATATATATCTATATATATATATATATACACATACACACATATGTATATACATATACTATATTCCAAGGAGCTCCACGAATAAACATGATTCAACATGGTGGCGCGACAGAGCATGACATGGGGATAGTGATGCTGAAGGTGTTGCTTCTGCCGTCGATGCTCTTGATAAGGCTCGTCTTCACCCCAAGCGGTTGTTACGATGAAGAGGCCAACATTCAATATCCCCCTGCCTTTTTCAGGGGCGGCGGGAACTTTGAACGGCATGGCTTCCAACGCCGAAATGACCTCGGCAATGACACGACAAGTGTTGGAAAAAATGACACGATCAGTATAGGAAATTAATCGCATGAACAACGCATGTGTTGGCTTGCAGAAATCAAAACAAACACAGTCCACAGTATAGCATGCTGACGAGGCGAAAACTAACAACACACCTCACCACAATGCATCCAACAACTGCCACTACTGCCACTACCACCACTACTACCACTGCCACCACCACCACCACGCCGACGACGACGAGACGACGACGACGACTACTACTACTACTACTACTAATACTACTACTCCCTCACTGCTACTGCTGCTACTGCTACTACTGCTACTGCTACTACTGCTGCTGCTGCTGCTAGTGCTGGTGCTGGTGCTGGTGCTGGTGCTCGTGCTACTGCTGCCACTACTACTGCGACTACGACTACTAGTATTACTACGACGACGACGACTACTACTAGTACTTCTTCTTCTACTACTACTACTACTACTACTACTAGTACTACCACCACCCTCACTGCTTGGCATCCGATGCCACATCGCTCAAAGCAGCTCGACTGTGTGAAGATACGGTCGTCTTGGATCATGGGCTAAGGCGCCGGGCTCAAGATTCAGGGTAGAATGAGCACGAAACATCCGTAATCACAGCCACTCGCAATGCTGGTAAACCGTAGAAGGCACCAACAACATGAGAAATGGTAGTTAACCCAACTAGTAGCTATGAAGCCAAGATGCTGCTTCACGGCAGGCCTGCAAGATTGGGATCCCCGGTTTCTGAAGGACTCAAGCATACCTATAGTCTCCATTGTAGTCCCTTTTTTGTTGACCATTTTTATCGTAAAGGGTCCTAGCCATACATTTGGTTAACCAAGAAAAGGAACTACAATGGAGAGTATAGATAAGTTTCTTCCCTTCAACCAGTCCAGGTACGGAAAGACAAACAAGTTCAAGTTCTTTACAGCTGTCTTGGGCTTCTTCTGGACCGAATTTGGTTCGCACAGGTCGCTGGAGAACCGCAGTGTTCTGGGAAGGCAACTCTACTTATTCTACTTTTTGGAGCTTCACAATAATGAGCTTGAGCCGAAGATCCTACAACCAACAACGAAAAGGCGTATGGTTAGGGTTCAAAATGAGACATGTCCCAACCCTAAACCCGAAGCCCCGCACAGCAAAACCCAAAATCCCAACCCACGCGCTTGAGTTCAAAATAGCCCCAGCTGCGGCGCCTGACCACCACCACCCTCGCCAGCAGCCGCGAGCACCGCAGCCGCCTGCTTCTTGCGATGCCACCCTCTGTTCAAAAGGTGGTGGTGGCTGCGGCGGCGGTGATGGTGGTGGTGATGGTGGTGTGTAAATACATATGTACATATATACGTATATACATACATGCATACATATATATATATATATATATACACATACATCTACACATACATATATATATATATATATACAGACACTTGAATTCGTAGGTATAATACACATACTTGTACATGTAGTGAGCACATATGTACGTACACAAGAACAGCCGCAAACATGCAATTCAAACAGCAACGACGACACTGACTATGTGCTGGTGGGCATATGTATGTGTATATATATATATATACACACATACATACACGCACGATCTCTACATACAACCTGCAGCCCACCTGGGGCCGTGCGGTCGGCGCTTGAGCAGAGCCGCGCAGCATCAGTGCCTGGGCACTCCCCTGTGCCCTTCCGTGGTTTCTGAAAATCAATGCTTACAATGCACTACACTGTATCGTAATATGTTGTATCATACCGGGTTACATCAAACTACATTATACCGTATTGTGTCATATATGCTTACCCTTGGATACCGGTCGCGAAACTGGTGTGGAAACACCGTGCTTAATGCAGATCCAGGCACCAACTCCTCCGTCCTCAATTCGACTGCTGGCGACAGCTGCACCGCCTCGCAAACCTGAAATTGTGGTTCAGAGACATTTAGCACGACTACATATTCCGGATTCCGAGTGTAGGTGTACAAGCAGTTGTCGTAAGCCCGAATACATCGGGTCACACTCTGCCGGCTGTGAGTGCACATAAAACAAACCATGATCAAAACAGCAAGTGTGGCCTCCAAGCCCAGACATGTAAACTCCAGAAGATGGAACGACTTGAAGCAACGAGACCTAACGATGTCAGTTGTTGTGGCAGTTTTCCCTGGCGAAGCCGCTAATGTGCGATAATATACTGCAATACACCATAACAAATAACAAAACTAAGATAAAGCTGCGAACTTCAGCCCCTGATGAAGCAAGAGCAGCTGCCCGATCCCTGCAACCCGCACGCTTCGTTGCCTCAAGGCCCTGACAAGTGCTACTTAAACACATGTTGTCTCTCGTAGAGCGGTATTCAGTCGATTGCACTGGGTCAGGTCAGGCAAGACACTTTTGTCAGTGGCTCGGGCAAGGCCACAAAGCGCTCCTGCATCTGTCGACTGGTTCTTGCTTCACACGGCAGGAAGGCAACACGATGTGCAGAAAGTCTAAACTCAATGTATCTTCGAAATCCTATGGGTTTGAAAATTGGATTCCCAAAGGCGGGTATGTGTATGTGGAGGTGGACGCGGTACATGGGTAAATATCTACGTCAGGCTTAATTACGCTACTTACAGGACTTGCACACTTCACGGTTGACGTGCGCGTGTAGCTGCCAAGACACATGCATAGATGATACGAATGCCAAAGTCTTACACATGCACAAACAGAGACAAACACACACACACACACACAAACACACACACACACACACACACAAACACACACACACACACACACACACACGCGCGCAGACACAGACAGACTCACGTGCACAAAGACAGACAGACAGACAGCCAGCCAGCCAGACAGCGAGACAGCCAGACAAAAAGACCGACGGACGGACAGACAGACACGCAGAGCTACAAATCCGCGACATTATGTTTATGCAGGCATGTGTGTGAGGAGGTGCTTGCTGTGTACAGCACCAGCAACAAGAAACAACGACAGCAACAACAAGAAGCACAAGAACAGCAGCAGCAGCAGCGACATCATCATCACAAGTTACATGATGATCATCATCATCATCCTAAACGCCAATGCCGGCAGCAAGAGCTGCAACAGAAGCAGCGGTATCAATCAACGACACTTTTGAAGCATGTGAACCAAAAATGCTCAGGTCAATGAATGTCCAACAAGTGCTGAGCCACTTTCGGCCGCCGGACATTGATAAAGTTCGGGACACACACATGTGCACGTGCGCTCAGCTGTGTTCGGATACACACACACACACACAGAGACGCAGTGCAGCATCATCATAACCAACATCATCGACGAATCAAAACGCTGGTGAAAACCCTTCAGTCTCAACACGTCCCAGCCCTCCACTACTAAGATGATTGCTTCAGTCTAGGTCTACAAAGCCCTACCATTTGTGACAATAACATGTCCTAAGCACCTGCTAGTTGAAGTAGTGCAATGTGTGCGATGGCCCATACCTCCAGTTTGAAAACCTCGTCCTCCTGGCCCGAGCCTCCTAGTTTCAACGAGCTAACTGACTTCGAACCCCAAATCCCTAAACCGCTAAACCCGGAAATATAATGAGGAACCAGCATAGTATTGGTAATTATGTAAGTCCCCAAAAGCCTATATACCCTAAACCCGAAACCAAACCCTAAACCCTAAACCCTAGGTACTCCCGGAAGCCCCTTAAAAGGTTTGTCCGCCTGGAGAGCAGCCGCCTCGTCTGATGAGACCAGCAGCGATTGAGCCAAGCGTGAGAGCCTTGGGTTTTTAAGGTTCTCTTTTTTAGGTTTTTGTTTTTTTTATGGGCCCTTTTCCGTCTGCATGAGCGTCCGAAATTCCATAGTTGGAGGAGCCAGGGGCTCGTGTCCTTTTTTAGGGTCTAGGGTCTAGGGTTTTTCAGGTTTAGGGTTCAAGGGTTTAGCGTTTAGGGTTTACGGGTTCTAAGGCAAAGCCTCGTAGCCCTATATAGAGGCTTGATATGTGACATACTGTGAGCATGAAGATGTTGGGCTTGCCTTGTTGATGCCACCCCAATACTGTTCAGGGTTTCTTTCCTGTCTGTTGCAGCCGCTGTGGCGGGACACCTCTTTTCGACTCTTGGAGGAGCACGAGCTCTTTTGGGCGCGGGATTTGGCGAGGTGGCACGCTTCCGTTTTTTGCTTGGTTCTGCGCGGGCACCTTGTTTAGGTGACGTCTTGGAACGGCGCGGATCCGGACCAGCGCGCTTTCCAGCACCGTCCATGGCAGGAACCTCAGCATCAGCCATTACGTTTGAAAGCCCCCACAGCTCTGACCCCGATGCGCTCCAGGGCGTCCTCCGTGTTGGATAACTCAAGCCCGGAGTTTTCGTCGACTAAGCGAAGCACAGGAGGAGGTGACTGTGCGGGGAGAGAGACGCCTGGGTCATCGCGTGCAAGTTTGAGTTGGAGATCGGTGGCTCAAAACTATACCAATGCAGCTCACCTGCCAAACGCATTGGCTGGAACGAATCCAAAGGCGTTTTGGGCTCATACGGACTGTTTTCTTTGAGCAAGGTGCTTGCTGCTAACTCGGGTGACGGTTGCGTGGCTGATATGCTTGGGCGCGCAAAATCGGAGCCATCAGTCGGGACTGGAGTGCGGACATAGCGCACATCCACGTGATAAGCAGAGACGCAGCTTCGCAAGGCCCGGGGGCTGCGGGATCCTGCCGGGGTGATATCGCCCCCGTCGGCAACAGGATGAAGCATTCCGCCTATCATGCATGGAGGAACCCGAAAGCTGTGGCACGCGCGCGAGGCATCTTTAACCGGAGCCCTAGGTGCTCGACCGACTCAAGGCGATGTTGTGGCTGCGGCACACACGCTTCGAAGTGCCCAGGTCGATCGCATTCTGTGTATACAGCATCATCTTTGTCCCACACATCGTGCTGAATTGGGTTTTGACAAGAAACGGCATGGATGGAAAAGAAAGTCGCATGCACCTGGACCACGCAACACGACCAGGCCGTTAGGGCAACACATCGGCAAGGATTTGACGACGATGTCGACCTGTGCAGTCTGTGTGGATGGTGTGCAGACATCGACACTGGACCAGCGTGACCTGAGCCATGGCTTCTGCGACCCCCATTCTCGATAGGTGCTTCGTTTGGCACATGCACGGATTAGGTTGAGCATACTGAACACGCAGTCCGTGCTTCTTATAACGTGAACCGTGGAAGACACCGGGGAGCACGCTGACCTTGCAGTCGAGGCTTGGAGATACGGCAAACTTCACGGGCTTCGTGTAGTCTAAACGGGGCGCGCAGGTGTTGGAGTTGCGGCCAATTTTTGGCACATTGAGCTTTTCCTGCCTTGCAAATGTAGTTCACATCAAAGGACTTGTCGGGAGCTGGCAGTTGCAAGTCTAGTTCTGTGATGTCTGTCATCAGTCATGAAACATTCAGCAATGAGGGGAAACTAGCGGACATGACTTCGAAAGCCGTACAACTCTCAAGACCCTAAACCCGAAGCTCACAGCCCGTATGCTAAACCCCTCAACCCCTGCACCCTGAACCCTACAACCCTCAACCCCAAAAAGCCGCTAAAACTCCGTTCTTCGGCCTGCTTTCTACACCCGACGATGCGAGTGAGCGCACATACAGTGGGCGGTAATATACGGGTTCGATAAAGGATACTATAAGGAATCGATATAAACTTCCAACGTAATTATTCCTTGCGGGTTAACTTCAAGTAACCCTAAGCCCCAAACCCTCAAACCCCTAAACCCCTGAACCCCTAACCCCTAAGACTCTAAACCCTGAGACCCCGACTCCTCTGCCAAGTCCTGGCACCGTGGCTTTGAAGCTCAGGGCTCTGAAGGTTCGAGGGGTTTAGGGGTTTTGGGGTGGTGTGGTTTTGTTTGGTGTATGGTTTCGGGCTAGTGCGCCTCTCTGACGACACTGGCAGTAAACTTGCACCAGGCCTTTGTTCTCTTGAAAACGACACCGTCAGGCCATCGTTCTCTTGAGTATCAACAACATCATCAGTATCAACCTTTTCTTCATCATAGTCATCAGAGTATGTATTTATTCTTCACCGTGCTTATCATCAACATTATCATGGTCATCACAGTATCATCATCATCATCCTCATAATCATCATCAAAAGGTTCATCTACACAAACCCAAAGCCAACATGGTCACCACCACAATAGCGACCGTCAGCACGGCATACTGTTGTTGAATGATTTTGCTATCCTACTGCGCTCTAATTCCAACCTTATGCTCGGATTGGGCAGCACCTTCCAAGGCAGCGACAAGATCAGGTGAGCTATGGTGAGCTGCAACCGTCATCAACGTACCTACTCTTGCCTTGCTGAAATCTTGAAGGTGTCTTTTCTTTGTAACGTGTGAAACATGCGTGACCTCACCAGCCGCAAGACTTGACTGATTCAGATGCCACTGCATGTGCGCATTTCGCAACAACCAAGAGCTTACTTTAGCTTTCCAGGGTAAGCTGGCACATCCACAGTTCATCTGAGTTGCGAATGCTGGACAAGCAGACTGTACTAGGTTCCATTTGAGGATTCATGATCCAAGGGAGAGACAGAAACGACAGGCATCAACCATCGTGCAAACTGATAGCAATGAACAGCAGCTGCTAACAGGACAGAACTCAGGTGATCAGACTGCAGGAAAGCTGGAGAACCAACCATATAGTGGAAGATGCCATCGTGGCATAGCACGGCGGCACAGCAGGGCGAGAGAATCCGTGCTGCAACCCTTATTCCAATTTGGGATCGTATGAATGTGTCGTGTCTTTCAAAGCCCCCGTAGATCTTTGCAACGATGTCCTGCTTCTCCGACAGGAGGTTCTAGTACTCTACCATACTCTACCCATCGTCCCCTACACTCCAAAACCCCAAAACCCCTTAAATCCCTCTAGTGCTCCCAGTACGCCTAAACGCCTGCAGGCAGGCTCCTCCAAAAGCAACATCTGGCTTAGCTGTGCCGCGCCAATGGCCACAGACGCCTGACGTCTTTACTCACGGGTTGCAGAGATCTTTGGATACTTTTCCATGGATTTCTAGAGACGGTGACCTACTACACAGACTGCAGGGCATCTGCCTTCTCTTAAGTGAGGTCTCTGATTCCCAACTCAGGCCGATCGACTCCCCTGCGAGCCATCATATTCGTCGGTCATTGAGGAGCCTTGGGATGCAAAGAGGTCGACCCTGATACAGCTGCTGCAGATGAATTATAGGGTTTATACTTGACGGGTTTACATACGGGGTTTCAAAAGGGTAGAAGCATGGTTCTTAGGCCTTTGAGGGGAATGCTAGGGACCCTACTTAAGGGTACATATAAGGAAAATAGTAGGTACATAATTTTTATAAGGATCCCAGAAATAAGGGTCCATAATAGGTGGTTTCAACCCTAGAGGTTTCGTGGCGTAGCATGTAGGGGGTTAAGGTTCGCACTTCAGGCAAAACCTGGTTCATTTCGGGAATACAACCTGGAGAACCATGTTCTAGATTCTAGCATCTACAGGTCTGCTGCGTTTCGCTGTGGATCGCACTTATCGCTCGAGACAAGAAGCAAAGCCCGCCAAAGATCCCGCAGAAAAACAAGCCACAACCCGTATTATAAATCCAAGCCCGCATATCTCCCTGCAGCCCTAGAGCCCAAAATCCAAATCCCTAAAACCCCTGAACCCCTAAACCCCAAACCCCTAGAGCCCCTAAACCCCTACAACCCTAGAGGCCCTAAACCCCTAGAAGCTCTGGACCCCTAAACCCCCCCCACCGCCCCCCATGTGAGGAGCATGGCCTGGCCAAGCCGCAGGCTGCCGGCGGTGGCGCTCCTGGCGTCTTCTAGCTTCTGCAATGACTACAATAATAATGAAAATTAAAAACAATAGTAAAAACATTAATACTATTAATAATAACAGTAGTGATACTACTAAAAATAACAATAGTACTAGTAATAATAATCAAAATACCAAGAATACCAATATGACAGTATACAATAAATGTCTGTGGGGATTAGGGTTTGGGTAAGGGTTTCAGATTGTTCTTGCCAGGTGAATACGGTTTGTAGTATTTATTGAAGCTATAACAAGCATAGCGTGATTGAAGGACTTGTGGGTATGGGTCTTCAAGAATTGGGTTCTGTACATCTTAGTTGCTTCAGCTTCTTGTAAACAGGCTTCAAGCTTTTTGCGCCCTATAAGCATCGCAGCGAGAAGCCGTAAGCCCAAATGCCCAACATGTTAGCTCTTTTGTCTAGCGCGTTCGGGCTTCAATTGTTAAGGTCTAGGGCTTGCTGCTTTGGGTTGAAGCCTCTTGGGTGTTTGACATTTGTCATGTTGGTTCTGGGCTGCTGGGATTGAGGTGGGGCACCACTTGACCACATTGCCTTCAGAGAGATAGAGCTCTTGCGCATGAGTGCTCATTTAAGTATACGTGAACAAGTGCACCTCAATTGTCAACACACACACCACACAGGTATGCGTCGTGATGCTTGGTAGGTTTGATGCTGTCAAGTTCCAAGACAAGTTAACCCACTGGAACAGTTCGGATGCTCGGAGTGCGGACATGGCAAATGTGTCTTCAAAGACCTAAGCCTGTTTTCCACCAACGACCTTGCTTGCGTGACTTGCAAAGTCCGAGTCCCTAACTTCAGAAGTCCCCACGGCACAGAACCTTACAAATCGCGACAATGGCAATGCTAGCAACCTCCCGGGCGAAACACTCTCACGGAGGTCCTGGCGAAGCACGCTGCGCTCTGAGGCGAACACTTCTCCTTCGCATTACGGGATGGGTCTGGGGTCCCATATAATATAGGAGCCTTAATAATTAAAACACTATAATCATAATTTCAACAAGGAGTTCCCAAAATAGTATAGGCAATTATTAAAGCCCCGATGTTATACCCTCAACCCGAAAGCCCCGGCTTGTTTCTACCGAGACTTGCGGAGAATTTGGCCGAAGTGGATGACTTTGAAGGTGTCTAAACCCATACAATGCAGATGTCAAGGAGCCCCATGCGGTGTAGGGGTTGGGGGGTGTTGGGACCACCAGTCCTTCCAGAAGCCCACGGATCTGAGTGTCCGTTTTCACATTGAGGACAATCTCATGCCGTTCGGAACAGTTCTTGGCCCTAAAAACCTGATATGGTGGCCTTCATAGTTAGAATAGGGATTTGGGGCCTATTTACTACACTTATAATAAGAAACCCCAGAATAGCATAAATAAATATTTAGGCCCCTATGTTCCCCTAAACCCCAAACCCTATAAACCCCAACCCTGACTCAAAGCTCATTTGGGTAGTTATCGAAATATGGGCTCCTTTTCTTTTATAGGGGTGCCGTATTTCTTTGGGGACCGAAAAAGCACTTCACATATGAGCCTGACTGACCCTAAAACTCTTTTGCGCAGTCGGCACAACTGGATTTGCACCTCCACGTCCGTGTAAAGGTATCGGATCACGACGGTGGCAGCGGCCACGGGACAGCCCGGAGGCAACCGCAACGGCAAAAGACCTGAGAGACTGAAAGCAAAGTTCTCTAAGGGTCCATTAGCCATATAGTATATACTTGGGCTCCAAAGTACCTAAGTAGGGACTACATCAAGACCAATGTATGTACTATAGGAGCACATGGACCCGTAAGGGTAGCCTTTCAAGCTGGCCCCTGTTCAGCACCATTTTCAATGACCTCTACATGACGGGGAACAGAAGGATCAGGGCAAGTATCTCAAAAGGTGGCATCTGTGCAGCGTCGGTCCGAATGAAAGGTTTGACACTGGTGGTCATGAAGTTGCAGCTGCAGCTGCTCCTAAGCGGATCACCGAATTGCATTTTGCGCATCCAGCGGTTCCGACTCAGCCGCGAAGCTTAGTTCGGAAGATTTCCGAACCCTGAAATTTCCTTGCACCGAAACAAAACCTTGAATACCTCCAGATCCCCGGCCTGTCTTTTCCTCCTTGGCATTGTGCCAGTGATCTGCCAGACGTGCCTGGAAGTACGGCGACCGCTGCAACACTGCCTGGAAAGCACGTCATTCGAATATTTGGGAGTTAGGATTAGGGGAACCCTTGGGGACATAGATCCTCTGAATAGGTCCACTTTAAGGGATCTTCCTAATACTTCCTAGGAATACTGCAAGGGGCCTTAATAATTGGCATGGTGTTTTTCTTATTATTGCTAGTATGAGGAACTTTGCGGAGTAGTATAACCATTCAGGCTGGCATCTTTGTGAACACCTTCACATACACTCATGTACACAAAGATGCACCACCCAAGTTCATGCCTGCCTAGATGACCCAAAACCCCAAGCTTGTAAACTTCCAACACCGAAAACTCGAAAACCCGACTGAAAGGCTTAACCTCCTCCACCCCGATCCCGAAACGAAGCCTGAAACTCAGCCGAGAAGCCTAAACTGCTGAACCCTGTAGTCGTCGAAAGCCTAGCTCCCGAACCCCTCGAGCTCCAAACCTGCTCAACCCCCAAAATCCTCGCAACCCTAAGCTCCCACACACCGACCCCGACCATGGTTACAGCCTTATGGACGATCATGGTGGAAGTCTGGTCATCGGCGATGAGCCGCAAGTGAACCTGAAAGGTCGAGAAGGGCCCGTCCCACGGACAGACAAGTCAAAACAAGACCAACGGGCCCACGGGCCCACGGGCTCACGGGCCAGCGGGCCCACGGGCCCACGGGCCCACGGGACCATGCACGGGCCCACGGGCCCACGGGCTCACGGGCCAGCGGGCCCACGGGCCCACGGGCCCACGGGCTCACGGGCCAGCGGGCCCATACACGGGCCCACGGGCCATGTATGTATGTATGTATGTATGTATGTATGTATGTATGTGTGTATGTATGTATGTGTGTGTGTGTGTATGTATGTATGTATGTATGTATGTATGTATGTGTGTGTGTGTATGTATGTATGTGTGTGTATGTATGTATGTATGTATGTTTGTATGTAGGTATGTATGTATGTATGTATATATGTATGTATGTGTGTATGTATGTTTGTATGTGTGTGTGTATGTATGTATGTATGTGTATGTATGTGTATGTATGTATGTGTGTGTATGTATGTAGGTATGTATGTATTTATGTATGTATGTAAGTATGTATGTATGTAAGTATGTATGTATGTATATATGTATATATGTATGTATGTATGTATATATGTATATATGTATACATGTATATGTGTATATATGTACATATGTATATATGTATATATGTATATATGTATTTATGTACATATGTACATATGTACATATGTATATATGTATATATGTATATATGTATATATGTATATATGTATATATGTATATATGTACCTATGTATATGTAAACGTGTATGCATGTATGCATGTATGCATGTGTGTATGTATGCGTGTATGTATATATGTATGTAGGGGGGTGGTAGGATTTCTGATTTTAAAATCAGGGGCGCCCCACCAGTCCAAGGCTCCATCCTCGGAGTTCAGGGGTGGTAAGAGTTCTGATTTTAAAGTCAGGGGCGCCCCATCAGTCCAAGGCTCCATCCTCGGAGTTCACGGGCGGCAAGAGAGTTCTGAGTTTAAAATCAGGAGCGCCCCATCAGTCCAAGGCTCCATCTTCGGACTATGTAAATGCATATATGCTACGTCTGTAAATATTTGTGTGCATGCATGCTTGCAATTGTATATGTGCATACTTTTATGTACATATGTATATGTGTAAGTAAATGTATGTGCATTTGTGTACATGCTTGTGTATATATGTATATATGTATATATGTATATATGTATATATGTATGTATGTATATATGTATATATGTATATATGTATATATGTATATATGTATATATGTACCTATGTATATGTAAACGTGTATGCATGTATGCATGTATGCATGTGTGTATGTATGCGTGTATGTATATATGTATGTAGGGGGGTGGTAGGATTTCTGATTTTAAAATCAGGGGCGCCCCATCAGTCCAAGGCTCCATCCTCGGAGTTCAGGGGTGGTAAGAGTTCTGATTTTAAAGTCAGGGGCGCCCCATCAGTCCAAGGCTCCATCCTCGGAGTTCACGGGCGGCAAGAGAGTTCTGAGTTTAAAATCAGGAGCGCCCCATCAGTCCAAGGCTCCATCTTCGGACTATGTAAATGCATATATGCTACGTCTGTAAATATTTGTGTGCATGCATGCTTGCAATTGTATATGTGCATACTTTTATGTACATATGTATATGTGTAAGTATATGTATGTGCATTTGTGTACATGCTTGTGTGTATGTGTGTATGCCCTTGTAGACAAGGAGTACTAGGCAATACTTGGCATGATTAGTCAGGGCTTCATGGGTTTATGTACATGTATAGCAGGAGCATTAGGCCATACTTAACATGATTACTCAGCATGAACGCAGGACACTGTAAATAAGGATTCAATGTCTCTCCGGCTTGCAACCATTCTTACCACCCCGACCCTAGCACTGCCCATGACCAGCGGGCCCACGGGCTCAACGGGCCCACGGGCCCACGGGCTCGCGGGCCCACGGGCCCGCCACGGGCCCACCAACGGGCCCACGGGCCCACGGCCCCACGGGCCCACGGGCCCACGGGCCCGTCCGCCGAAAAGACCATGCCCGAAAGGTCAGGAACCAGGCAATGGAAACTGTCTTCGACCCTGTTCTACTCGCATGTCTGTTCGAACCATACAACAAGCACGAGACTGAAGGTGGGGCTTGTGAAGCTATGTGCTTTGGCGAGCTGATGTCCCCCGACACCGCAAGAAAGCCCAGACCGTGCTGAACCTCCGCCATTGTAAATCCTACTCGTCAGCAGTACCTGTCAGCTCAATATAGCGGCCTGAACAACCAGAATGGGGCTTTTGGGTGTACCTTGCGTATAGGCAACCCTAAACCCTAAGGGACTAACAGTGGGATACTGTTATTCCTGGCCACCGAGGCTACGCAACCCTAAACCCTAAGGGACTAATAGGGAGATACTGTTCTTAGTGCTGACCAAGGTTCTGCAGGACTTCCGAGGATAGTGCTCCTCGGCTGGCCAACAGATCTTAGCGCCATAACGCAACTGCCATGGCTTTTACAACGCACCGACTGGAGGTTTACTATAATGGAACAAACCATAGTTCGAAACGAAACATAATTCGAAAGCAACCTTTGAAGCGTGTAGCGGTGAAATCTGAGGTTGTTCTGTCAGAGAATCCGCGTAAACACCGGCCCAGAGCCTTGATACTCTCAGCGTCCGAAACCGCTTATACCCTAAACCCTAAACCCAAGGCCGAGGCCCTAACAAAGATAAGTTTCGTGGGAATTTGGATTGGGAAGTTTTGACTGTTCCCTACCCTAAGGCCCCATAGTAGTTCCTTTTTGTGGTTCAGATTTAGAATCCTATAAGGCAATCCCCCAAAAGGAACTACTATGGGGCCTTAAACCCTAAACCCCCGATAGAAGAGGCTCCAATCTGCGAAGACAGTGCCGAGGTCGGAGTCATCTGCCCCAGGGAATGTGGTGGAAAAGTTGAGGGAATCATTGCAAAGCTGTCTTTAATGCGCTTCCATGCGAAGGTCTACATCCGGCGGCGTGGCCGTAGAGAAGTTATTAGCTATAAAGACCATGAATCATGGAAGACGTGCTCTACTAAAGGGGGTATGACGGAATGTTGGGTGCCAAGCAGGAGGCTGCAAGCAGCATAACATCATGAACGATGCTCTCTGAGAACTCGCGGGCTGGTAAAAAGGTGATCTATAAGGTAGTTCTCCGGAAGCCGTGCGCATCTGCATGTTCATGTGCACTTAGTCACTAGTCGGCGGCTTCAGGACTTAGGCATTCCAGTCGGGCTGTGTCAAGTTTCATGGCTGCACGCGATCTCAGTCTAGGGCCATGGAAGGCGTTGCGAGGACATTCTGCGACACCTGAACCTTCTCAGTTCAATCCAAAACAGGACCTCCACAAACCCCGGACCTCTGTCTCCTCAGACATCCAAGTCTTCCCTGACATGTGCTCTGCTTGCGCCTGATGCTTCCGAATCTGGCGCGAAGGTCAGAGTCAACTCACCGGACGGTGGCCGGTTCCTCAGTCTTTTTGGTACTACAATAATAAGTATTATTATTGTGTTTTTTGTAGTCGATTATTACTATTAGTAGCAGTAGCAGCAGCAGCAGCAGCAGCAGTAGCAGTAGCAGTAGCAGTAGCAGTAGCAGCAGCAGCAGCAGCAGCAGCAGCAGGAGCAGGAGCAGTAGCAGCAGCAGGAGCAGGAGCAGCAGCAGCAGCAGCGATAGCAGTAGCAGTAGCAGGAGCAGCAGCAGCAGCAGCAGCAGCAGCAGCAGCAGCAGCAGGAGCAGGAGCAGGAGCAGGAGCAGGAGCAGGAGCAGGAGCAGGAGTAGGAGCAGTAGCAGTAGCAGTAGCAGTAGCAGTAGCAGTAGCAGTAGCAGGAGCAGTAGCAGCAGCAGGAGCAGGAGCAGCAGCAGCAGCAGCGATAGCAGTAGCAGTAGCAGGAGCAGCAGCAGCAGCAGCAGCAGCAGCAGCAGCAGCAGGAGCAGGAGCAGGAGCAGGAGCAGGAGCAGGAGCAGGAGCAGGAGCAGGAGCAGTAGCAGTAGCAGTAGCAGTAGCAGTAGCAGTAGCAGTAGCAGGAGCAGTAGCAGCAGCAGGAGCAGGAGCAGCAGCAGCAGCAGCGATAGCAGTAGCAGTAGCAGTAGCAGTAGCAGTAGCAGTAGCAGTAGCAGCAGCAGCAGCAGCAGGAGCAGGAGCAGGAGCAGGAGCAGGAGCAGGAGCAGGAGCAGGAGCAGGAGCAGGAGCAGTAGCAGTAGCAGTAGCAGTAGCAGTAGCAGTAGCAGTAGCAGTAGTAGTAGCAGTCGTAGCAGTAGCAGCAGTAGCAGCAGTAGTAATAGTAGTAGCAGTAGTACTAGTAGTACTACTAGTAGTAGTAGTAGTAGTAGCAGTAGTAGTAGTAGTAGTAGTAGCAGTATTCCTATTCCGATTACTATTACCATTCCTAGGGATGGGTTTAGGTCACTGTAAGTTTTCGGACTTTACGGGTTTGGGTTCAGGGTTCTCGTTTCCAAGTCCTTGGAGAATACCGACTCCAGGCCGCCTCTGGGAGATATTGGTCGGGGGATAAGACTGTCTTCGGGTTTAGGGTTTAGGGTTTAGGGTCTAGAGACTGAAACTTTTCCGTTATCTTGTCGGGATTCGCAGGAACTGCGAAATTGAGACTTGGCGACTCTTGCGTTTGCTGCCTTGGCGTGCTGTTTGCTCCAGCTACCAATCCCTAAACCCTTAACCGAAACCTCTAACACATGCTGGGCTGCCGACTCAGTACAGGTGCTTGTACAGCGCTCGGCTGGGGTTCGCCGGTTGATGTACCATAGAGAACAGAAGCCCCTCCACTGATGCGTAAAGAGGAAGCCACTACTATGATTCTGGCCACTTACTCGCGCAGTTGGCTGCCTCTCAGACCTTAAGCCGTCGTTTGGAAACCGAGTGCCACCGACGCCAAACTTCCAAGCTAAGCCCTCCTGCAAACACCCTCCCATAGAATCCGAAGCCCCAAAATAGTCTACTCTACCTCAGAGAAACAGTCTGTTCCACCTCAAAGCAGGTATCTCTATCCCTAAGTATCCGTCACCTAAAGCCCGCTAGGTCTGAAACGCCAACGTCTCTTCCACAAGTTTCGAGTGCCCTGAATGGGTCTCCGAGGGTCTCGTCGCACACGATGCTGTCGCACGAAGGCTCTGCTTTGACCTCGTGCTCTTGGAATGTACCCACTCGCTTCTGACTTCAGTTCTGGCATGTTGAGGATCCCAAAACTTAGTAATCTCGATGTAGCGTAAGTAGGTATTTAGCGCACGCACGCAAATGTATAATGCTGTATACATGCAAATAAGATCTACACACGGGAAATCCCCAGGTTCTCGGTATCAGAAAATCACGTAGGCCCCTCCCCAAACATGGAACTCATCACGCAACAGCTGCCCTTCCTCAATGAAGGCTTCTTCGTAGTCTGATTCGAGACGAAGCACTCTCTCCATCTCTTTTTGTCTCGCTTGGTGTATAACGTTTGGCTAATTCATGATTTCGCTTCGCTATATACAATGTGCTTCATCACTGAATGCCAAACAACAAACGGACTGCACCCCTGTATCCCAGGAACACATCCGCTGAAGCCTACGAGAGAAGCTGGCTCGTACGTACATGTCTCGATCTTGCATAAGCTGTATCATCTGTCATGGCATCCGAATACACTCCTTGCGTGTCATGCGTCTTTACAGGCCCTCCCTACTGAACAGCAGGACATAGCACCAGCATGTGTGGCACTGTCGGGATGTAGTGGTGAAAAAGTGCCGGCTACAGGAATAGCCCTATACAATCCTATCTAAGCTTCCCTCATCCCCAATTCCAGTAACCTGCAATCCGAAGCTTAAGCATGAAATCCGAGTCAGCCTCTTCCACTTGCGCGTGGAAGCTCTGCCGTGCTGCATCAAGCCTCAAACTCTCCAATCTTTAGGGTTTGTTAGGGGTGTAGGGCTCAGCATTTAGGGTTTAGGATGGTTTAGTGGTGTAAGGTTTCGAGTTGTAGGCTTTCGGGGCTTGGAGGTTAAGGGGTTTGGGCATCCGGGGGTCTGAAGTTGTGAGGTTTGGCATGTTGCTCGTGAAAGGTTCTTCAGGAGGCTCCGTAACTAGGCTTTACCAATGACAGTTGGACGAAGGCACCTCGGTCCTTTTTCAGTGATTTAGTAAAATTTAAATGACCGTAATATAGAAACCATATAATGTACTGTAGATTCCTAGTGTGGTAACTTAACTTAGATCCTTTGACAAGAACCCAGGCATAGTTGAGCAGCGCTCAAGCCAACTTAGGGTGTCCAGGGTTCCAAAACCCTCAAGCCTCAACCCCAAACACACACGCACACACCATAAGTCCTGATGGCTGACACTGTCTGACGAATGTCCGACCAAACCCCAAACCAGAGATCTTAAACCCCAACCCACAGTCCCGTAAACCCAAACCCTAAAACCTAAACCCAAGACCCTGAACCCTAAGCCCGAAACCTCCGGTATTTAGGCTTCAACCTTTTGGGATCTCTTGGGGTTTCAGGTGTGCGGTGTAAGGATGGGTCGAGCTTCTTTCTCGAGGCTTAAGGGTTTTCTGTCTGGTGTTTAGGGTCTTAGGATTCTAGGGTTCCGGGGTTTAGAGTGTTTACCTTAACCCCAAATAACCTACCTTTTTAGGGACTTGTGAAATCATTTTAAGGGGCCCTACAAAGGTAGGCTCCTTAGGGTCCAGGTAGAGTTTAGGGCTTTAGGACTTCATCATGCTCAGGCTTTCCCAGCGAGCAGGCTCTATGCAAACAGGAATATCCAGCAAAACCCGGGGGATAGAGAGAAGCGTCCAAAGTAGGAACAGGAGGGTTTAGGGTTTGATGTAGGGGCCTTAATAATTAGAATATGGTTTAGGGGCCCTTTCTACTTTTCATATAATAAGAACCCCCCAAGATAGTATTTCGGCCCCGACAGTAGTTCCCTGCGGCTCCCAAACCTCGAAGCCTACCTTGAGTTGTCTTGCCGACCAGAGACTGTGCACGGAGAGTCGCGTTCTCGGCTTCCAGGCGCGCCACCACACTCTTGTGAACACGATGTAGCCTCGGATCACTTACTTGCAAAACCTGCAAGCCTAACCCCCGATGCCGCACTCTTGCGGAGCCACTCACAAGCACCCCTTCATGGATCCACTAACACTATGTCACTACTTGGTGAATCGAAAAAAACCTCTGGTTGGATCTTAACCAACCCTGAACAAAAAACCCTAAACCCTCTCATGTGAGATGCTGGTGCCAGATGTCCTTGTGCTTCTCTTCAACCTGCGGTCCAGCGGCGCTGCAAAGGTTCGGCCGCGTGCTTCAAACTTCAGCAGTTTCCGTCACATATCGAATCAAGCGGACACGGAAGCCTATCGATATTAATACGTAATAGTAAAAATATTTGTAATGGCAATAGTTATGGTAATTCTACTAGTAACGATAAGAGCAGGCAGAAGACGAGCGTTGACAAAAGGGATCCGACCATTCTTCTGGACACTGGAAGCCTAAATAAGCCCTAGACTCTAGACCCTGAAAAGCTACAACAAACCCACAAACAATAAGCATATCAAAACCCTCCGGAACCCCAAACCGAATGGCCTGCCGGTGCTCTCTTTCCAGCTGCTCCTCAAAGCACGAAAGAGGAAGAAGCGTCCGAAACCCTTGTGTCTATGGTTCAGGCTATCAGGGTTCCTTGAGTCTTGTAGGGTCGTTAATCGAGGGGAGTTTCAATCGGAAGATAGGGCCTTTCGGGTTACGAAGATTAGCGATGCGCAACTGAGGCCGTATGACCGTATACCGCGGGTTGAGCGAGAGTGTGGTGCTGCATGTTGGGCTCATTGTTCCGGATGCCAAAGCCTTCACAACTACCCACTCGTCGAACACCTGAGGCCCTATATATCTATCTATCTATACATACATGCATACATATATATATATATATATATATACAGACACAGACCCTTTAAGCCGCAAGTACTTGAATCGCGATCTGACATCTTCGGATACGCACTTCCTACCCCATATGAAAGCCCAGCGCCCAGCTCCTGAAACGAGGCCAACAAAGCTTCCACCATTGCGCTGGGTTAGGGAAAGGGTTAGGGAAAGGGCTGCTTGGCTATGGGGATCAGGATTCTGTAGGGCTGTAGTCTTCACATTAGGCTCGCTATCACACAGGTTGGGGACTGCGGTCAATTAGAGGGGACCTAAACAGCCTTGTTCAGTAACGAAAGGAAGACGATTTCTCTGTTTAGGAGCTGGGGCCAACACGTTCACATGCCATTCATTTCTTTTCTCTTGTTTGACGCCGTGAACAAACGGACAGAAGCTACTCCCAGGTCTGCACACTGCTACGCCAAGAGCATGCCAGTCGCCAACTTCTGAAACCCTCGTAGTTGCTACTATCACTAACATGTGGGTCCACTGCGGTCTCTGCCAGCTTTAACCTTCTTGAGATCAGGTATGAGACTTTGCCTAGATACGTGTGGTTTGAAACTGCTTTTTAGGACTCCTTGTTATGATCACCTTGTAGAAGCTCGCAACAAGGTAGGTATTTGGGGGTTGGGTATATACGGTGAAACCCTGTGCAAAAGGAGCTTGGGCAGACAGCTGCGGGCTGACCACGGATCAGGATTGCTTTCCTTGCCCTGACCTCGTGCCAGGAACAGGGGCCATGTATTGGCTTGGTCTGCCATGCCGAAAGCCTTCTCCTTCTGAATGCATGGCCGGAGAGAACATGACCAGTTTCTCGTTGTAGGTAGGGTGAGTTTCAAATCTTTCGTTGTAGTGATCAAAGCAAAACCACGCTAGTGGTCATCCACAACCCGAGCCGTAGTCACCTGCGGAATTTAACTAAGCCTTCATTATGCAAGACCTGCATTGCCACACAAACAAGTAGGACCGAAACTACCCAATCTCTTACGGATCCCATGTGGTTGCCGCCACACCGCCTGCGGGTTGTGAAGTCTGAAAAACCAGTTTTCAACGCTGCAACACGGGATCACGCAAACCTGCGCCCCAAGACAAACCGTTGATGTCCGCATCCAATCACACGAAAACCGGAAGGCATAATTATTGCAAACCCTAAACCAGGTCGAAAGCTATGAGATGTTCTTGCGCCATGACGATCACTAGCATCACTCGAACATAAAGGAGCTCACGTCAGCTCTCAGACTGTCGTATGCCATGAACGTCATGAGAACATCAGCCCTAAACCCTACAACACCTGTACAAACCCTACAGACCCCAAACTTCGAAAGCCCGAACGCTTCATGCAAATGTGCAAACGTAACCCAGAAACGGCGGCGTAGTCCGATCAGCCCCAAACCCGAAGCAGAAACATGCTTGGATGCCCGCAGAAGCGCGGACATTTGTGCATCTCCTCAGCATCACCCGGCCTGGTCGTGACCAGATGTGCATTCTGGGTTTAGGGTTTAAGGGTTTAGGGGTTTAGGGTTTAGGGTTTAGGGTTTAGGGGTTTAGGGGTTTAGGGTTTAGGGGTTTAGGGTTTAGGGGTTTAGGGTTTAGGGGATTCTTGCTTTGAAATGTACTATGTTGGGGTCCTTTGGCCTGGAGGACTTAGAGCGCAAGAGCTGCTTTTGTCTGGGCTGTTGTAGTTCAGGGCTCCTACGGGTCTTTTCTAAAGACTTTAAGGACTTCAGTTCTAGACTTGAAGGGCTGAGGTTGCCAGGCTGTGGGGAATGGGGTTTTAAAGCTTAAGGGTTCAGGGTTTCATAGGGATTTAGAGCTTAGGGGTTTGGGGATTTCAGGTTTCGAGACGTAGGAGTCTGGCCATTCGGGGGTGAGCACTCAGAATGTGGTCGTGTTCAGGTATAAAGTCCAGCGGGTGGTCTGTGACTGATGGCGATGAAACCCTAAACTTAACTTCCTGCACACGGGCAAATTTAAAATCCTGACCCTAAGTCCGTGACCCTTCAACCCTTTAAGCCTGGCTCCTCCAGAACTAGTACCCTTATAATCATGACCGTCTAGGTCCCCCATGACCCCTTAATGAGAACAGGAATCCAGGCCTAAACCCCAACTCTCTAAACCCGGCTCCCAAGCAATGGCTCCGAACCCAGCTGTCAACTTGTTCTGAAAAGTCCAGAGTATATACTGATTACGAGCCGGCGCGCATGCAACTTTATGCTTGTTTCGGCATTGGCTTCGACATTCTGATTTGGGGAATGATTGCCACGGAATTTTGGAGAAATTGAAAACCCTAAGGCTCACACAAAAACCTCAACCCTGAATGTATGAACAGCTCTGTCAAGAAGGCCATTCAATGGAAAATTGCCACAGTTCCCCGGATGCCCTGAGCTTGTGGCATACATTGCCGGCCACCGCACTCAGCATGCTGCAGGACCTCCCCGTCGCCAGGACCCTACCATGACTACCATCCTAGACTCTTTGTTGATGGCCGCCTTGTCAGCATCACTGGTATGAAGCACTTGACATCAAAACCACAACATGGAAACAGTCCCCCCAGCCGTAGCAAGTGGTACTGCTGCTGCTGCTAGTGGTGGTGGTGGTGGTGGTGGTGGTGGTGGTGGTGGTGGTGGTGGTGGTGGTGGTGGTCGTTGGAGCAGCAGCAGCAGCAGCACGCATTCGTAGCAGCCACTGCTGTTCCCCTGAGCTCAAGGCCCGCCGATGTCTGCGCATCTGACCATCACACCTCGCCACGACGTTCGCATCTCTCTGCTACTGGCTACTGCCGTCCCTCACAAGAGCATGGACACAAACGTTAAAGATTGTTGGACAGCTTAGCAAATCTTCTGGCCTTTCATCATGGAGAGCTTTGTAGAAGACTCCCGATAATTCAACCTATGCGTGGATAACCATGGCTTTCCAGGACAGTGTGCTCAAATCCATATATGAGGACGATTTTAAATTCAGAAAAGCCTCGGCTGTGCTACATCTGGCTGGGTGGTGGCAGTGGCTCCGGAAAATTGGACGGAAATAAAAGAACGACAGACCTCTCAAACATAGCATGCACGATCCCAAACCATAATTACTGCAGTTCTCCCGCACAGTCTGCCTTGGATACCACGACCAATGCTTGTATCTGGACGGTTCTTCTGATGCAAAACTGGTGCAAGGGATGGAGGATGACAACGACTGCCTGACGACAACGACGCCTGTCTTACAATAAAAGGGACTGGGGCAGTGATGATTTGGGGGTCACGAGGATGGTGCAGGTGACCATGAACATTGGCGAGGTTGATGCCCATGATGAAACTGATTGTCGTGATGATGATGAAGATGAAAAAAGGACGGTGATTATGGTGATGCCGACGGTGCCGTTGAAGATGAAGGTGATAGGTATGGATGCTGGATGCTGATTGTGATTGGCAGGTTCAAGGTGAGCATGAGTGTCACACCGTAATTGCGCGGGAGATACGAGTACATGCATGCTTTTTGTTGGTTCTGATACTCATGATGATCCCAGACACTCCAATATCCCTTAATTATAGGGAATAGATTCCTTAAATTATAGTAGGATCCCTGATCATTTGGAGTCCCTGGGATGAGGAGCAGGGTTTTGGGCGGGGGCTGTCGGAACGACCAGCTTCGAGTATTGCTTGCAGAAGATGCACTTCTTATTCTAGATGGGATTCTCCGTAGATTAGGGGTACCTTATTTTGGGATCCTTGTAATAAGGATCCCACAATATAGGGCACTAAATTAGGGTTCCCTATTTTCGGAAACTCCCAGATAGCATGTTCTCAAGCCCCTAAGCCCAGAATGGGAGAGCATCGCACAAGGTTTCCAGGACCCGAGCTGGTCGCAAGCGCCCCAGTCCGACCAACTGGCACGATTTAGGGTTTAGGGTTTAGGGTGGGAAGATTCGCTGCAAGTGCTCTAAAATAGTTGCCATATAGGTGTTTGTCAAAATTGGGGTCCCTTTTTGGGTCCTTGTTATATTGCGGCACCTAATCTTTAGGGTACCCAAAAAGGGACCATAATTTTGACAACCACCCATATAGATTGTTTGGGCAACCTCAGGAATTCGAGCATCCTAAATCCTAAAACCTGTAAATCTAAACCCAAAGCCCTGCTGAAAGATGCTCCTTTTGTTGGCACGCTTCGGCTATCTGATGGTCGGGGTACTAGAATCTTCGCAACACGGGGATGCAGTCCTGACAACTAAGGTGCGTAGATGAAAGCCTGAGCGGTTTGGGCTTCGGGGCACCGACGCTAGAACTTACTTGCAACAATCCTAAACCCTAAACCCCTTAACCCTAAACCCAACATGCAGCACTGTCTCTTTAAAAAGCAAAATCAAGGGGCCTTCAGCCAGGAAAGCAAAGCTTTGTGAGTCATGAGGTTTCTACACACCCAGGAAGCCGAATGCCTTGAATAAGGATTATACCTCGATTTGTTGAGCCTTCAGAGTCTGATGAAGGAAGGTAAACTCCCTCATCAGAGGAGATTGCTCTCTCGGGGAGGATACAGATATTTTGGGGCTTGGTCCAACCTGGTTACGAGAGCACCCACCACTGAACATGAAAACGAGGAACAGAAGAACTCCTACTAAACATCTCACATTCAATCTTGTAGAACCCATAGCTGAAGCCTAAACCCCGAATCGCCCGAACCCTGTCAGCTCCCCAGAGACTTTTGGGTGCCGGACTCAGACCAAGCGCAGTCTTGGTAAACACACCTGAAGCTTGTCGTTGGTTTTGCGGCCTATCGAGTCGAGGGCTTGTAAGTGTAGGCCAGCAGTCTTGGGGTAGTGAAGCCTGTGTTTGTGCTCTTAGGACTTTTCGTTCAGGATTGGGGGGTTGGAGTTTAGCGTCTTGGTTTCTGTTTTGGGTCTCTTAAATTGCAAGGAAATGGGCTTCGGTTTACGGCAAATCTTTGTGCATCGGGCCTGGCGCTATGTAAAAAAGCCGGTAGATCTCGGATAGCCAGCCACCCATACTATGGTCTAAAACCCCAACCTGAAATCTTAAGGCCCTGCACCTTAAGTTATATACTGTAGCAACCTGGATAGTAACACCAATGAGCATAGAAAGCGTTCAGTAACCCTGATGAAACCCTAATAATAAATGCCGTATCAAGCCCTGAGGCCATA